CCAATCAGAATAAGTACCTAACTTCTGACCTAGTGGTTTTATTTCCTGAGGAATATATATATATATATATATATATATATATATATATATATATATATATATATATATATATATATATATATATATATATATATATATATATCATTTACAGGCCTATCTTTGTTTTCTGATTTCCGCGGAATAGGGTTTCTGAGGGAGAACGGTTACTATTCATATCCAGTTCGAGTATCTCACTGCGTTAGTAGCGTTTCTGTATCTCGTATTATTCTGTCAGTCGCTTCCACCTGGTCACTTCAAGGATCATAAGAGAACCTGAATTATTTAGTCCAATGCGATAAAATATCCGGTCTTTAAAACGCATACTTTATTACAAAACAATATGATATTAAATTTGATGGGTTTTGTTATATAAAGTTGTTCCAATGTGAAGTTCTTTGATTTGTCTGGTTCAGCAATTTCGATCTGACCATCTTTTCCCTGTATTCATTAAGTTATGAGATTCAGACTCGAACTAACCGACCAGCTTAGACATAAATCTAAATGAGTGACACAATTTAGTTGCTTTGGTGCAGCGTTGATTAACATACTTGAAACCAATCTTTATAAATTTACCTACAATGAATGTTTGCATTTCAGGTTGGTCTTGATGAATCAAATGAAGTCACTCATACTCACTAATAAAAACGGATAAATATGTGACGTATGTACTTTGAGAATGTAATGTTTAAAGCAGCATTGATCACGGATTGACATCAGTTGGAGAACATCTGAAAAACCTGCAAGCATTGAACAGCTGCTTCGTCGTAGTATAGGACTCCTCAGCAGTACACGCCTACTATCGAGCTAGGAGTCAAATTCAGGACCTTCTGGTTTCACGGTGAACGTGTTAACTAATTGGTCCCTGGGTCGAAATTCAGCGGTCCACAGTTCCCTACTTCTATCAATTCGCGATATAGCTAGACTATCACCCAAGGCCTTCATTTGCCATTCGCTTCGACTGGTTGAGCTCATAGGTTACGACTTCCCATTAGAACTTCGTGATATCCATTTCGAAGCATGTCCTTAATGAATGCGTGTTGCCGAAGGTTCCCATACTAGAACGAAACAGCTTTCCAGTGCTCCCAGGTTTTCAATAGTCTTTTGAATGATGTCAGTCCGTGATGAATGCTACCTTAAATATAGAACATCCCAATCAACAGAAATCTGCTATACTCTGAAAAATTCTGCGGAGAAACTCATGGTTTTTAGCCTTGCAGTCAACTGCTATGAGTGCCTACCACTGTTTGAACAGAAGTCATCATCATTATGTAAATTTGGGGTTCCGTCTATCGGCCTAACTGAAAGATGCTATTAAATTTTGGAGTAGATGAACCTCCCAGGTAAAAGTACTTCAAAAACGAGGTTGTGTAAGTTATAATGCAGCAAATGTGCGATGAATACTTCAAAAAAGCAACCAAATTTAAAAGTTGAATACAAGTAATATATCTTTGTCAAATGAATCAAAAAGAAGTTGCTTTCTGTAAACAAGCAAATTAAGGCAATAACCTAGTCAGGTGAATTAACAAATTTCCTCGTGATTTATGCATACTGAATTCATTTGTACTTTACAAAATTTTATTTTTATAAACTATAAAAAAAGATTTGCTTTAGTTTATCTGTTTCATACCAGTAAAGGAAGATAATGATAGGCCAGCCAACTAGCTGAAAATATACCGCGATAAAGGTATTTCTAATTACTCATTACTTGCTTTAAATAATATGTAATAATGAAGCTCTCATCAGAAAAGTTTCACTTATACTTCCACTTTTATTGTGACCAATACTATATCCAGACGAATGGGCTTAACCAAGATATATATATATATATATATATATATATATATATATATATATATATATATATACTAGAAACATTTTTCAAATCCAGTTTTTCAGTGTTTCTTTATGCTAATCAAAATGCAATGATTATAACATCCTAACGAATGAAATCAGTTCCCTGGTATGAATACCACACGGATGTACCATACAAGAATACTGTAAATACCTGGAATACCAAGCATTCATGGTTGAGTTTAAGAATGACAAGACATAAAATGTAATATATCAAATAAACAAATCTGATAGAAAGTTGTATTATTCCATAATACCCAGATTCTGGGCTTATATTTATGCAGTTTATTGTTTGTGGACATTTGTTCCTATATCTGTTAGATGAAACCAAGATTTTCTCACCGATAAATATACCAAGATGTATGATATGTCTTTGGATAATAATGTATGTCCGAAACATACAGTAAACAATACTGTTACACTGTGATAAATCTAACTAATCAGTTACAATGATACACTGTTTCACATGGCGTCCGTCCAGATGGACACAGATAAATCATATTGCTCTAAGCTATCGCTGGAGAATTAGCGTTCTTTCTAGAGTACCAGTTTGGACTCTGATCACGTGCTGGTACAGGCTCGTATGTCTGGTTTTTACTGGTCAAAGGAAGTAGGCAATAGTAGCCAATAGTTTGACTGGAAGATGAGGACGCCAATCACATATCTAGAAAGGAGTTATTGAAGAACTTATCTGAACACGACAACAATCCTCATCTTGAAAAAATCTAGTGCGATATTAAGTCTGTTGTAGAAACAGCGGTAAAGACAGTTGGCAACATACACTTGAAGCTTACAAAACTCCGTTGGATTTCGGCACCGTCATCAGAACTGATTTCAGTAACGTATGAAGAGCAAAAGCAACCTAAACGTAAATCAACCAGAAGTCTTCGCATCGATCACAAGCAGTAGTGTTTGGCGATAGCGGTGGAGAAAACAAAAGCGTTAGGAAACACCTGGCAGTTATTTAGCCTCAGTAAGAAGAGGATCACGGTTAGTGAAACCATCACGAAAAGAGTGGAACGCTAGAGCGGCTAAAATGTTGAACGGAACACACTGAAGCACAGTTCATCTGGCCCTCCACAAAGCTTCAGCTGCCCAGCAACGAGTGTGAATTAGACGTGTCAGTCTTCTAACTCCCCTTCAAATTCAGAAACATGTATCGAACCAGAAACTAGGCAAAGCGGCAGCAACTGACAGTTTTCATGAATGAAGGCAGGAAATTGAATAGAGTGGCAGTGGTGATAGGCAGTATATGGGGACCAGATGTAGTGCCCTTAGAATGGTCTACGTCTCTGATTACTCCAGTAAATTAGAAGAGAGAGATCTTCCTGTGACAATCATAAGATAATCAGTTCGAAAAACATCGTGTTCAAGATCATCGATTCGACAGTTATCACAGCTCCAGAGCAACAGGCTATAGAAAACCACGCAGGCTTAGGACGCAGATGAATGTATGTCGATTAAATCTTCCCTCTCCCATAGATTCCGGAACTCAGATATACTCATCGACACTTGTAATATTTCCCGCTGGAAGACGGCATTCAACTCTTCCGATGGTAAACAGATGTAGCAAGACAAACAAGTCAATTGATGACTGAGAGAGCCTGCACGTGTACTGAGCATCCCAAGCCACGCCTTCCTCCACATGCCATGCGACGGAAAGTTGAATCACGTTCGAAGATAGTTCACGATGACCAAATGAAGACGTGGCAACACTCCACCAATTACCTGACTTCGTCCGAGACGTGTGGGAAGACGTACACTAGCTGCATGGGGTACCCAAGGTGATATCCATCACCAGTTACAAACTCTTGGTGACATGGATGGAAATCGGTCACAGTAGCGCACATTTGTCCACTCTCTCACGTCTTCTAAAGCTTAAATGTCTCCACTAGCCTTCATACTCAAATTCACCATTCACTCACACAACTTTGTCTACTTGATACCATTCCTTTTCTATCCACCTGTTCCCTGTGTACTACTGTGAAATATAGCAACTTGAACCGATGCAATTGTGTGCCAGGCGCTACATTGATTTCATAAGTAAAAGTGAAGAAAGTATCAACATTCGACACAACTACCTCATGGTAAAAATTATTATGAATGCTATCATAACGTGTCAAGTAGTCAATGACACTTTATATCTGGAGTTTGTGCTGCAAACAAATAAGTAGTGTCTGAACACCCCTGCAAACGACAACAACAACAACTTTCCCTTCACTGACCTACGAATTCAAAACCACCACCCAAATATCTTTCAGACTGGTTTACTTTACCTACTTGAGTAATGAAATCATACAGTGAGACTTCATCCACGTATTCAAACTTTTCTAGCTTGTATAAATGTCGGTAGAACTCATTCTCCGTTTACTTTGAACCAAAGTAAGCAGGTGGGGATGCACGCATCGTGATCCTTATGCGACGCCACTGAAATACTTAGTTAAACATGATACACGTGACTTTTAATTTAACTCCAGTTGAGAAGCCTATTTTTGAGAGTACGGGAACTGGTTGTCAAGCTCATACATACTGCAAAGGTGAGTCATGCAGCCTAGTGAGATGAGATTAAGTGAATAGGTGATCTTGTCCATGTTTAGGATAAACGCCCCATACACCAGTTTATATACTTGAATGCAGATTATCTTTCAGAACAGCTCAATGGCAACGTTATGATACGAATGTAATTTGGAGGAACTTATTTACATTAGCGCAATGTTTATCGTATCCCACCGTGGAAAACTTTCAACTCATTGAATTTGGAAAACAGTGATGTATAGCGCCTAGCAGTGAAATCCAGGACGCGTTTCGTACCACTTGGGACTTGTCAGATGGATCAACCTGCCTATCAGTGAGCGATGTTGTTCATACTAAGACTCGAACCCAGGAGACGCGCATCCTGGGGTCTATTGCTATCCACTATCCATCAATAATGTGAAAAATGAAAATACAAGCGATACGGAGGCATACATGCAGAAACTCAAATGCCACTAGAAACTGATCAATTAGGTCCACTCAACGACGAGACAATACTGGCAACACCATAGAATACGTAAATGTTTGCATTGTATATGACTACTTTACTTAGTCCAACCTTACATGACAAAAAGTCCCTCTAATGAAACAATAGAAAATAATCCCATAGTCCATAGTCTTGGTTACACTGCAGAAGACATCCATCAAACTGATATGTGTACTACATATGAAAATAGAAAGTTTCAACCCACACAATAGTCAACTAATACCTGCTTGAAAGAAACTGATAATTAGAAATTGTTCTTAGGATGCACACCTAATTTCATTTTGGTAAAGGTCAACCTTCTCGAAAACAATAACAAAAATGAACACTAAATAGATGAAAGTACTTTTTCATCTGAATCAACGAAACTGAATTCAATAACTTTCATTTTTCAAAAAGCGAATGTTTCATTGACATTGATTAAAGAATACGCAAAACAAAAGGAAAACATCAAGATATATGCATATATATATAAATACGAGAAGATTTAAGAAATGAACTCGCACCGTAGAAAGAGTATAAAAGCAAGTTGCAAAAAGAGAACGGAGACGAAATCTACACATACAGCTAGAAATGATCAAAGGTAATCTGAGAAGATAAAAAATACAGGAGCTAAAGACAAAACTAAAAGATTCCTTATAATCAACATACAAATTGAACTAGACGTGGCTACTATCATCATTGTAGTCATACATTACTTGCTAACAGCTGTGTATTTAGTAAACCGTTAATTTCAGCAGATAGTTAGAAACTAGATTAAATGATAACGACGAAAAACAAGAAATGAAAAACTCCAAGTGGGAATCAAGCAAAAAAATCAAGAGAGAAAAGATTCAATAACATCCTTCGAAATAAAACCATATTGAAAAGAAAGGAGAACGGCTGAAAAATAAGAAATAAACACGGGGTATCAATTGATGTTGAGTACAAGAGATTCATAGGTATTCATTCATTCACCCACTTGTACATAAATTGGTAAGATTTATGTGAAAATATGGTTAGAGTTATGTCGAAGTGTGTGTGTGATTATGGAAAACTTTCAATGGACTATAAAGTATGTAAGCGTAAAGAGAGACTATATGTCTACATGTGTGTTTATACCAAAGTAGACTATTTAGCAAACAATGAGAACTGTAAAAATCGCACATTATGCTTTGGGGATTAGCGGAAGAAGAGAAAGGCAAACAAAGGCTATATATATATATATATATATATATATATATATATATATATATATATATCCTGTTAGTAAATGCTGACGAATATAATAGTTTGTTCAAACTACTAATTTGTCGATCAAAATTGATTTACATAGAATGAAATTGGAGTATGTTTCATTAAGCCGATAAGATAAACTCAGTCAATAGAGACAAAGAGAAATAGATGTCCGAAAAGTTTACTTCAGTGACAGAAATTGGAAGACATTTCTTGTTTTATGGGCACTAAAAAAAAAAGAAAGCTTTCAGGATACATGCAACGAACACCATGACAAAATTAGCTATTTTTATCCCGAAAATATGATATGACAGCCTACACAGAATGTTTTTTTGAATTACTGGTAATGATTAACGAATAGTGTATGAAGAAGGATGAATTCTTGTAGACCTGATGAAAACAGTTAGGTTTTCAACTTATTTAATCGAACTAACAGACATAGACGAAACACAATCTCCACCACTATCCGTTAGGTCTAGACGCTCTTCTAAGTTCCGTATGCGTCTTTCATGACCTTTGATTATAATCTTCATCTTACGAATATCTTCCATGAGGTGTTGAACGTCAACAAGGTTCACATGATTGGCACCGGTTGCGACACCGTTCTGCAGTAAAAAGAAATGAAATCATATTAGGAGCAAGAGAATACTCGACAGCTACTGACAAACATACGAAATAGTGGTAAAATGTATGAAAACTGATATAAAGTAGGAATAGTCCATTTTCCTCCTATTTCTGTAATTCAACCATGGAAATGCAGCATTTTAGACATACAGAATCAGCGTAGAACGTCGCACACAAGTGGATCGGCTAAAGCTGCCATACTTCACAGTAGTACATAGAGAACAGGTGGATACAAAAAAGGATGATATCAAGGTAGACGAATTTGTGAGGCAATATGCGACTTGAAGATAAAGGTTAGTGCAAAATTCAAGCTTCAGAAGACGTGAGAGAGAGAAAATATATCTCCACCACTGAGACCGATATTCAGCCATGTCATCAAAAGTTCGCAACCGATGATGGATATCATCTCGACCCCATCCAGGTAGCCTGTATCTCACCACACGTCTCAAACCAAATCAGAGAATTCGTCGAGTGTTGCCACGTCTTTGTGTGACCCCCCGAGAGACCTCTTCCAATGTAATCCAACTTTTCGTAGTATGGTATGAGATAGGCGATGTCTTGACATGTGAAGTATAAGTGCAGTTCTCTCAGTCGACTAAGGTTCACAATCCTATCAATCGATTTGTTTGTCTTGCCTAATAACCTTCGCGCGAACTCGATATTGCTTACAAGATGGTTTCACCACATACGAGTAGTGCTAGGAAAACACCGGTGATCAAAACCCACTAACAGCCGCCTGGAATCCTCTCTGTCCCACTCAGGGCTGGATTCAAATGGATCATATTCCAACCAGTTACCCATAGGATGAAAGCTCTTCCTAGAGCATTTACTTGGACTGTGATTACATCGTAGGGTGTGATAAGTCCATCTTGCATTTCGGTGGACATCAAAATTATTGTCCGAAACGCGTTGACGTAATGAAACTAAGCATGAAACTGATTTAGACTCAACACTAGGTTTCAAACCTCCGTAGAATTGCTTGTATTCGCAGGGAATATATCAGTAATTCTGAAGGTACATGGATTGATAGAAATTGCCATCTATTGGGGATGGACGAATGTCGTTCCAGAGGCTTTCAAATCATTTATTGTCCATCTATCGTGGGGCTGATTGAGAGAAGCGAAAGTGTTCAGTGTATGGTGTAGTGGCGTCGTCAGATGAAGAATACTTTTCCTGAGTTAGCATCTGTAGGTGCCAAAAGATTCCTCTAAGGGGGTTTGAGAGATCATGCAACTCAGTGGCTACAGACGATGACATACATGACTCAGAATCAATACCAGTGGGAATATCTTGTTTCTTTTACGACTTAAAAGTAAAATGAGTGTAGTAAATGCTTCTCCGGAAGTATATTTGAGATTGCTTCTTTAATAACCATTTTCTATTTTCGTTCCCGTTCTCTCTTTCATTTTCCGTCTCTTCTTAGTGTTGCTTGATTATTTTATACAATGAACTTCTTGGTGCCCATGTTGCACTAAGTTTTTGGTCTAAACAGAACAATAATAAATAATATAATCCTAAAAAGCTTAGCGCCTGGAGATCATTCATCACAGTAACATTTAACGCATCGAAATAGCATTCATAACTAAAGAGAAGTTATGGCATATATTGTTGGAGATATTAAATTAGTATTGACTACACTCGTAATTGAAATCTAGAATATAATTAAACTGGTAATAATTTTTCTTAAGTGAACTGTGGGTGCAAAAAGTAATTGCTATAAATCCACACACACACACAGCATATACTGAATATTCTCACACACTTAAAACTTGAACTCAAAACTATCAAGAAAATGAAGCCGATTCTATGAAGAAACTTGAAGGGTAAATCAATATAGACTTGAAGGACTAATATACTGAACACCAATTTCAAAATGAATACTTTATGAACAATAAATGCTTAAGGGTTAAGCAGTTGTTATCAGAAACCTTTCCAAGAAAGATATTCTGAATGATAATAAGTGTAAAAAGAAACGCAAAAATCCTGTAGCTTATAAATGCACAGAAGACAAATGTTAGCATGAAAGCAGGGAATAGCATATATTCAGTCTACTAACTATTAACATATTGATGAAGGGAAGTAAATATCAAGAACATAATTAAACGTACTACTTGTTCTGAAGATGGGACATCTTTAGGTGGAGTACTTTTAGTTGATCTTTGTCTCTGTGTGTCTAAAAGATCGGTTTTTTGAGGAACTTCAGGATTCGGTGACTTGGAAACAGATTGACGATTTTGATGGGATGAAGCTTTTGTTTGTGGGACTGACAGAGATGACTGCTGGTCTTCATTTCCTGTTGTTGAACTGGCTGGGATCACCTTACCAATACGCTTTTTCGGTTTTGACTTTGGAACATAACCTTCCTTGAGAGAAACCTATGAAAATGAGATGATACGAAAGCGTAATATAGGAATGAATATGAATAAAATATATCAAAATCAATAATACGGCAAAAATAATTCATCACCGACAATTGAGAACCAAATGATAGCTATATCCCTTCCATTAATGAAACCTTAATCAGATCAAATTATATCAACACCTTATATGATAGTGGTGCCAAGAACTATAAGTTATAATAGCGTTTCACATTACTTAATGTAGCTTAACTACTCTAAAAACAACGCAAAACTAAAGTGGGCGACGGTTCTACTCACAAAGGAGTAAATCTTAATATTCAATGGAACACATATTTCAATAGGTCTATCTATAAAAGGAAAACTCTAAGACTACGTGGTAATCTTTATCAGATTCCCTCTTTGATTTTCTTGTATGCATTGTAGAGGTAATATATGTAAACGTCATCAGATGAGGTGTTCAACACTCAAGATATCTTCCTCATAAAACAGATATGGATTACAACCAAATTCATGAACCTAAACGTAAATGATGTGTATTCATCTCTTTCCCCTTTTAACAAGCCTATTACTTATTAACTGTATAAGGAAAGGGGTAGTTGCGCTATGCTTGTCTACATGTAACAAAATTATATTTTTGTGAAAAACTAGGCATCTTAGAAAACAGATGAAAGACCAAGAGTACTTATCTATTTCCAGATCTAACTAGATAATATCAATGGACAGCGAATTTCAGAAGTGTAAAAAGTAAACTAATTTTTGGCTTAAGACTATGATTCGATTACAGAATAAAAATTTTTGGAGTGAACATTTATTCTGAACAATATCCTACGTTTCAATTGCAATAAAAATTAACAAAAATTGGAGATACTCTTTGTAGCATATTGTAATATTAATTTATTGGATTTGAGTTTTCATATGAAGATTTATGCAGTATTGTGGAGACTAGTGATGCTACCTGACTGTTTGAATCTTGACAAGTGGAAGTAGCGACTAACTGACTAAAAGTTGAATGTCTAACATAATGGGTTACAAATTCACTAAACTCGACTTGTGTTGTCAGTTTCTACTAGGGCATTTTTTGGATCGTTTTAATACTAACGCTCTCAACAATTAAACAACTTTAAATTATACCACATTTTAAATCAACAGTTTAAACAAATTATCTTAAATTGACAATGTATGAGCGTATGAATATCTATCCGTTTTCTAACAGATAGTTCATATTAGCTTACAAGTTAGCTGGAAACAAAGAAACCAGAAAACAACGCATATATCGCATTTTATGAACATCATCATCCTGGACTTAGTTGAACAAATATGATAAATCAATGTATGAAAACCTCAAATGTTACTCACTAATGACACAACCAAGAGGAATGAAAAGTGCCGTAAGTAGATCGATAAAACTTAATTAGAAAGAGGTTCAGTAATTGTGATTTGCACTTATTAACCACCATTTATCACGTTTAATCTAATAGAATATGAAGGTAGGGAGAGATTTCATATTTGTCCGAGAATAAGTTTCAATTCACTATACACAGAAAAAGGGATAATTATTGAAATTTTTAAAGAAATGTCCAAAAACCAATTTATAACTGGATGAATGAAGTTGGATTAAATATGTGCTACTTTTTTTCGATTGTAACTTATTATAAAGTTGCATGTTAAATAATGCTACATAAAACTTGATGGGCATAGGTATATATTTCCGCTTTGACCGACGAGTATGAATAAGAAATTATTTTAAAGATTTTGAACTATATAGACTAGTAAATATAAAACAAAATAAATTTGTTTCAACTGACGTTTTGTTATTTAGTGCTAATAGCTTTAAAGTTATAGTAAACCGGAATTTAAAATATCCTCCAACAACTTGACCAGTGTTCTTCTGTGCGAATGAATGGCTGAGATATGTTGATGACATATTCGTAATTTTAAAACGTTACTTAGATCATCTGAACTCCAGATCCTCCAGTATCAGTTTCAGCTTAGAAAAAGAAACGGATTAGGGGGGATTGTCTTTCCTTGATTCTTTTGTTAAGCGGGAAGAAAATGGACATTTAGATATAACCATTTTCAAGAAAACCAATGCATCACATCCAGTTAGTGTAAAAGTTTATGTCGCCTTCAGTCGTTTAAGGAGAGCACACACTTATGACGGATGACAATGAAAGAGTTAAGGAATTAAAACATGTGAACAAGATACTTAAAATGAATAATTATCCAGTGAAACCCATTCGCAAAATAAAAAATAACATTAAATTAAATAGTAAGACTACTCCTAAATCATAGGGCTCAACAAATGTAATATCATCAAAGTGCTCTACAGAACATCGAACACATTGAAGAGCACCTTGGTTCATTTAAAGGACGAGATTCCTCTAGATTCACAATCTAATAATGTTTATAAAACAAAATGCTCAGACTGCGGTACAACATACATGGGAAAAACTTCCCGTGAAATCAAAATAAGGAGAATGAACATCGAATAGCTCCCACCGGACCCCCCCCCCTCCCTATGAATGCAGTGGGACTGAAAGGACTTGAAAACATCAGCCATAGCTTTACACGCCATAATTTCAGGTCACAAGGTCGATTCACTGAAAAATATCGAAGTTATTCAGAAAGGCTTTAGGAATTATACAAAAAATTTCATACTAGAATCTGTTTACACTAAGCAGAATCAAAATTTCAAGTTGGCATCAATCAAAATTGTCTAAATAGAAATGAGGAAGTAAAACGCAGTTCAACCTTGCCAAAACCCACCCCCACATACTGACATAATCAACACATACAGTTAAAACTACCAATACATGTTTGCATACCAAACCCAGTATGAATACTAGTCTGCCAAACCATGCCTATCTCAGATAATCAAAATCTGAATGTGTAATTCATACGCTTCACCGAGAATGCACTACATATGGATGGATATCATCTGTATTCTACAATTCTGACAAAGCAGAATCATTCATGCAGAAGAACACTTGTAAAGTTATCATATATCAGCTTGGATATTTTGAATTCCAGTTTACTATAACTTTGATAAAGCCATTAGCACTAAATAACGAAACGTCAGTTGAAACAAATTTATTTTGTTTTACATTCAAATACAAAACTAATGAATATCATTTACCGAATGTCCAAATTTCTTCAAACCATTAAATCTCAAGTTGGTTTGCATATCTGTATAGATTAGCATTGCAACGCCATAACCCCGTTATAAGTGGAATAATATCAAAGTAAAAATTGCATATTACAGAAATCCTGATTGACAATGAAGTTTCAATACATATATGGCTTAGAAACAAGTTTAAACAAAATAATTCGCGGCCTTTAGTAAGTGGTTCACATCTCACAGTTGCAGAACAGCAATGAGCGGTGTATTCTCAACTTAATTTAATTATCGTCTCAAAAAATGATGCATTTGTGACTAGATTTTGTAATCCACAAGATTAGTGAAGTTGACATCATGCAAGAAATATAAGTGGTTATATTGCAATCATAAAGTCAATCCCAATGAAACTAACTAACCAGATGATAAATATCTGTGGATTCCGTCATTGACTATGAGGTCTACTGAACCGAACAGTTCAGACACTTGCGTTCCATATTATATCCCACGCCAATAAGTACTTTTCACCTCAGCACACAAAAATCCATTAGGCGATATACGAAATCATTCGCCTCAAAACATCACCGATGCTTTTGATGTGAAACGCAAATATGTATGTGCTGTCAACTGATTGTGGGTATGATGGCTATCTTAGTATAAATCTAAGTCTGAATTAACTGAAGTTCAACGAAATGTTAAATATTTATGAGAAGAATGAACATAAAACAGTAAAATACAATCTGATAATAGCCAGTTGATGGTGAGAGTGAAATCATCTCCAGAAAACCCAGGTTGGCAAAAGAAAAGAAAAATTTACAACTAATTGCTAACACTTACACAATATATAAATGAACCCTCTTAGAACCGACAGAAGCTGATGTTCAGACCTAACCTCGGAACACTACATTTGCACACAGTATGAGATAGAACAATCGATTTTCACAGTTTATCGCCTAACATTTAATAACTATGGCAGTGAGAAACAAGTAATAGCACGGAGACAAAGTCGTTACAGTGAATACCTACAATATTAGTAATAATAATACATGAATAATCAATGTGGACCGTATTGTGCGAAATAACAGTTTTCAAAATTGTATACACAAATATTAGACTGGAAATGGAAATATACATTTTGTGTGTATGCATATACACACACATGGATAATGTGCAGATTAGTTATGAAAGAAATATACATTTACAAACACATGGATAGAATTGAAGAGAATATTTTAAGAACCAGTAAAAACATAGTTAGACATAAACAATAACTTTGAACAACACACATTTGTAACTTCCAATAAAATCCTTTCAGTTTAAAAATCCACATAAACACATACATACACGAAAATGTAAAATGTCGACAACAATGTACGCCTGTAATAGCTGATGTTCACCTACCCCCCTTCGGAGTATAACAGCAGTTAGTCCATTTATGGTATAACACGTCAACAAGATATAAACACAAGCATCTACAAAGATTGCGTTATTTGTAGTCAACTCATACAGAAGTTTCATTCAGAATTGGAAGTTACCGCCATAACCCTGTGATGAAAATCGACCATTATAGGGTTTAATTAAACATGAAAAGTGAATACAACTCGAAAAATACATTTTGTACGCAGTATAGCTCGCATACAGATATATCGTGTGGTAGTAATTATAATATCATAATAAAAATAAAACATGGAATTGAGTTTTGCTGACTATATGTAGATCCCGATTAAGATGTTTAAGTGTGAATGTACACGCTTGGCGAGATAAATAGGGAACAAGAATCCGGATGCAGAGAATACTGTGTTTATTGCATGATAGAAAATATGTTCAACTTAACACATCGATTATTTTTTAGACAGACAAATCAACGAATCAATATCAGAAAGAAGATCGATAAAGGTAAACGATGATTGACAAGATTATGAAGGCACTTTTAGATCGTTAACTTTACCACATGAAATAAATACTAACCCTACTTTCATTCAAACATACTGAATGAAATTTATTTATAAATAATTATCATAATCTCCGGCATTATTAGAATATGTTGATAACAATAAGGGCAGTTCCTAGTAAGCTATTCTATTCTATCAGAACACTTTGTTGTGAAATACTTTCGGAAAAAACTGCTTTCAACACTATTGACCTGCGACGTCGTAAAATTAAGGGGTTTTCTCTCACTTCTTAGTGAATCGATCGATTTATTTTTACCAATATCCAACAAGGTTTTAATTGCTGAGTGACATTATAAAATTGAGGTAAACAATAGATTTAATACACAATAATCTAGAAATCATTTCACAGTGCTGCTCTTACCAATGTTCCTCAATAATATGACAAAAATAAATTAGTGGAGTTTCGTCCTATTTGGGACTCGTCAAGTAGATGTATCTGCGCCTCCCCGTGAGTGAATTCGGGACCGATCACTTCAAATGCCAAAGCATTATTCACTAGACTACCAAGCCATCATTAATATATAATTGAACCAAAGGCAATATCGAGTCATCCGCATAGGAGCCCATAATGCCAACAGAGACCGGTCAATACAGACTACTCAACGATGAGATAATACAAGTAACAATAATATGATAAAAGGATACAAAATTAAATTCAAGTTATATACCAGGGAGATTTCTTAATTCAAAGTGCTCAGTGGCAAAAAAAGAAAAGAAAAACAAACGAAACAATTAAGGTTAAATACAATACGTAAATATTCACTGTAGCCGTTTTAGGATATGAAGATTATTCGAAGAGTAAAAAATGCTCATTTCTCTTTACACGGAAATCCTCAGTAGACAGCAAATAAGTAGCATATCCAATTAAATTGGGTTTTTTTTAAAAACTATACTTAATAAAATTATTGTGCAGTAATATTAATGGAATACAACTGCACCTGGATTATGCAGCGACTAAAATCAATATTCATTTTCAGTTAAACAATTACGTACAATTCCCTATTAGAATGCACTTGACAATTGTAAAACTTATTTGAAATTTTGTGAAACAAAAAGCTAAAATAGGAAATCGTAGCCAATTGAGTTTGTATTTGCGTGCGTAAAGAGATATGAAACAGCCAAATTAGATATTTGATGAGGAAATGACAGAGTTTAACTTGGTGATAAAACTTTGTACTGCTAACTTCAATACACTGTAGTTGTAAACTTCCAATGGTTAGAAAGTCGCATTGACATGGCTTAACAATGACCAATGTGATGTGGATGTATTCCTTTTTAAGATCTACCAAAATTTGAATATTTTACCAACGGTTATTTATTATGAGGTAGTATTCATCACGGACTGATATCAATTGGAGAACCAATGAAAATCTGAGAGCACTGGATAGCGATTTCGTCATAGTATAGGACTCCTTAGGAGCACATGCGTACTACGAAGCTACGAATCAAACTCAGGATCTTCAAGTTTCATGGCGAACGCGTTAACCATTCAGTCACAGGGTCGGAGTTCAGTGGTTTACAGTTTCTAACTTCTGTCAATTTGTTATATAGTGTAGCTCTCATCTAACATTTTCCGACTAGTCGATCCCATATTTGTTTGTCGTCCTTTCCCTTATTTTTCTTCTCAATGATTTCAGTATCACTTTACTTCTGTTCGCTTTACTGTATGAATGCACATTGAGTGGTTTTCGTGTCTGTTGGGTGTTTATTCGCACCCTATCCGATGATTGACCCACTGCCTCATAGTGAACTTCATGAACAATGGGACATTAAAGTTAGACGGAACACAATGTGGTGCAGCTTCTTCTCTGAGTGGATCTGTAAGCTTAAATATCACGCTGATTTCAACCTAATCAGAAGCAATACACAGAATTTTCGACGTTCCTACTTTATTTGGCGAAAATATTAAGGTTATGAATCACCTTTTAGATACATTGAAATGTTCTTTTACAGCGTAACGGCTTTTTTCTTATATCCTTATGAATTCCTGAAAATAATTTAAGGAATAATCATTGAGTAATGACGTTTCTTTCATAGATCCCACTTTATCATTTACATTCCTTGATTCATTAATCAGACTTTCATATTGATTCCCCAAACATTCCAACCAACTCTAAAAAGGTCTTTAGTCTAAATATCTACTAGAACGTACTAGTTGTCTGCAGATAATATAATCTAAACTATTATCTTTGTTTTGCATTGGAATTCATGCCTATTTATGTGTAACCTGCATAAATGTAATAATGTAACTCAATATGAACTCCTCTGTGGAAGCCTTAACGTAGTTGGTGATTTTAGTTTGATAATAAAAATGAAATAAGTTTATACTAATAAGTAAAACTATAAAACTAGCTTACAACATGATATATGCTGATCATTTTTCATAACAAATACGAGTAATTACTGCTTAGCACATGGATCCAATGGTCAAATATGATAAGTTATTTTTTTTTAAAATAATAACAATGACCGTGGTTAACCACATTCAATCGTCTTTCTTCATCAGCAGTCTGTTGAGATGATAAAGTGCAACAAGTTCGTCGTTGAACAATCAATCATAAGTAAGATATCGAAAAGGTTAAGTATTGGGTAAAATAATTTCCACTAATTGTAAAAGTTATTGTGAACAAAGGTATGCACACAGACATTCATTTGATTTATTATAATAATCGAAGAAGTAAACTATAGAAGACAAATCTGTACATACTATGTGTGTAAAAATAGTATTTTCAATGCATATTTCAACTCAATATGCAAATCTACGTTACACACAAGTATAGGATGAAGGGCTAAAAGAAATTGAATTTATGCTTCTAGAATTAGATGCTTTAATTACTCAGATACAACTATACATTTAAAAAATCTCTGGAAAATGTTAACAATAATGTCAAAAGATTCTACGATTTAATTATCGTATGTACACAATTCGTGCCAGAAACTTACCAAGACAGGATCTGCATCTTTGCCAGACATCCATTCTTCAGCTGTCAGTGCTGGAACATCACCAATTGTATCCGGATAAAGATCGTCTTGAAATAGCTCTGATTTTCGAGGTACAGTGAACGGGATAACTTCACATAATCCTTTAGCATGCAATTTATAAAATCTGGCAATCTCATTTTGATTTACGTCCAATCCCCGTTTCGGCATCCAACCCATTCCTCTCTGTGGATCTGAACTGGTAAGCATATTAATATAGTGTATATATGGTTCTTCATCAGTTATTTCGAAGTACCTTATCGTACTATCACCCTGTTTGGAGAATAAAAGAAGCAAAAATTGTGAAAATAAAAGAGGATACGTATATGATAGGAAGGAATGACTGAAAAACGAAACATACTCAGCAACCTTGTGCACACTCATGCAATAGGCGATGAACCACACCCACTGTGTGAGTACTAGTGGTACTACCTGGTTGCCTAGACCTCGGTAGGTGGGGGGAGGGGTGCCTGGAACCCATGACACAATGGTCATATCCCTAAACCGCTAATCCACAGCTCCTATTTGGTAAGAACACAATATTTAACACGGTCAGCATGGCGAATAAAAACAAGGAATTTGAAAGCCTAATAACGGCTGTAAAACTTGTTCAAACAAATAACTGACAAGTAGACTAACTAGGATCACATAGTAATAATGGTTCCAGTAACCCTAACTAAAATCACATCAACTTAAGTTTTATCTGTGACTTACCACCTATTTCCATTAAATCATTTTTCAGTTCACATGGCATTTGACTTAGTTCGTACATCTTACAGCGTAGTAAAATATAATCGATTACAATTGATATGCAGATCATAAAAAGGAAGATATTTCGAAGGTATTCAAAAGGGATACTAACTCATCATTTTCCTAATTAACTAATCATTGGTGCGTTTCTTGTCTAGCTGCATTTCATACGTCTAGGCACTTGACTCTCAAACGATGGGTCACGGTTTAAGCTCAGCTCCGCCTACCGAGATCTAGGGCAGCCATGTTATTATCCTTAGCCCTCTCACACAATATATGTGGCTCCTTCCTTAGCTGTTATACAAACATATGATTGCTGAATACATTTCGGTAAATTTGTTTTTCAGTTTTAACAAATGACTCAATGAAAAATGCAGTAAATCTTTTTATCGAGTTTTCACCCCCACCCCACCCCCAAAAAAGAAATATAAGTAGGAACATGATTCAACAACTAAACAGATTCCAGAAGAAAAATGATCAAATGTTATTCTTCGAAAAATACCAATTGACTAGATTATATTTATCAAAATAAGCTTTCGAATCAATGAAATTATATGAGGACACTCTAACTGAATGAATTAGCTAATAAACAGATTTGAAAATCATCTTCATCAGGTCAGACAAAATATTAAAATGTATACTGATTTACAGTGTTCTACAACAGAAATTTTTAAATACGTAAAGTCTCTTTTACTTTTCAAGGTGACTACAAATTCATTTGCGTTGATAATAGTCCAAAAATAGATTTACACTTAAGAAAAAGAGTCATACACTTATCTGATTAAATAATTTTTAACGGAAATACAATGAAATCATACTTCACTAACATCAGGCAAAGGAATGTAAAAAAAAAGATGAAGAAGAGCACAATAATCACGGCACTAAAGAAAAAGAATTCAGATAAATTAGGCAACCTATGACTGTCAGATAGCGGAGCTATGACTCAGTGGTACAGGGATATGACTGTCAACCATTGGGTCACGGGTTCTGGCCCCTTCCCCTCCCCAACCTACCCGGTAGTATTACTAGCCCTTACACAATGCGTGTATTTCATTGCCTACTGCACGAATGTGTACAGGGTTGCCAAGTGCATTTTCTTTATTCGTTTTAGTAAATTGGTTGAGGCAATCGACTTTCAATCAATAGGTTTCGTGACTGGATTAACCACTGTGGGCTATTATTGGACACTGATCCAGTGGCTGAATGATAACATGTTCACCGAGATACCTGAATGTCTTAGGGTTTGGTCTCTAGAGAGGTTATGAATGAGCATTGCTGAGGAGACCCATAATAAAATGGAACAGCTGTCTAGTACTTCTAGGTTTTCAATCGTTCTCTAACTGATGTCGGTCCGAGATGAATACCTCAATGAAACCAACCAGTCCCAACAAACCTCCAAACTAGATTACACTACCTGGTTATATTAAATAGAATACTACATATAATGAAGATTTTGAATAGAAGTTAATACCAAAGAGAATAAACAGATATCTCTATATGCAGCTTACTGAGAGAAAAACTAACTTTTCAGAAAAGCGGTGAAAACTGATTACCTAATAAATTCAAAATATGTTCATTGACACCATTCCTATTACACATGTGTTAGAGACCTTATGACTATGGTTGTTTTTTTCTTAAGGCAGTTTCTGTAGCTAATCAAAATTTACTGACTGCAAATTTTCATATTTATTTTTACTTGTTTATTCTTTTGGCTTAGAAGGAAAAGAATTCGTTATATATATATATATATATATATATGTGAAATAGTGTGTTATATTCCAAACTTGTCCAAAAACATTCAGCTGTCTGGCAAGTCAACAAATAAATGTTATCACACGTAGAAAACTATTTCTGACCAGAATCAAGTATTGATGTAAAAACCAAACGAACAAACTATACTCAGTTATCATACACAAGGTGTGGGTCCTAACTCATAATACAGTGTTAGGTGTTCCTCAGTTTCATCGTCAATATACTAATTAACACATTTTCCATCGAAACTAATATAAGAAACTCAAAATAATAAGAATTGGGTCAGTTACTGAAGTAAACGAATTTCTGAAGAAAAACCTTATGTGTGCAAATGTTGACAACAGCCACATAGGGTTAAGCTGATACAAGGGTGGTGCAGGAACTTCTCTAAGGAGAATATGATGACTATCTCAGAAGTAGTTAAACAGCACTCAAGATTATTATTATTATTGATGCAATACACTCATTAATGTTATCACTTAACTATCTAAGACAGCCGTAGTTCGGCAGGCTAGTATTTTATACTTGGTGACGAGAAGTCCTGACTAGGCAGCCAATGTGAATATGATCAAGAGGTAGTAACGCGTTACGAATTCACATGGTAGTCAGGCGAAACCCGTCTTGGTGATTGAAGTGAAATAAAAATTTGGTCAGTAGTTGGACCTCGTAGCTCAGTTGGTAGAGCACCGAGTCGGTAACCCGATGGTCGCTGATTCGTGTCCGGCCGCGATCCAAATACTCACTAATGCATTCACAACGCACAATAAACAATAGAAAAACTCTCTATGTATTCATTTACACCGTTGTGGTATCATAGTTATCAACATTTCTGCATACAAAGGTTAGTGATAGTTCTAATCGTACCAAACTTAATAAACGAATGCTTTGATCTCATTTTGTTTGGTTAACAACGCAAATTCATGCGACGATTGAAAATTACTCAGAAGAGAATATAAAAACTAAAACTTTTTCAGGATCTCATACAGTAGTTTGTTGTACGGTGCGACATTTTCAGAGTGAAGTATGATCCAAAGAAGTATGGAAGTAATAAATAGTTGCCATGTACACATTCATGCAGTAGGCAATGAGCCACATCTATTGTGCGAGGACTAGTGACACTACGTGCCTGTCTAAACCTCGGTAGGTAGAGCTGAGTTAGAACCCCTGTTTCATCGGTTGGAAATCAAATCCCTAGACAAATGAGTCACAGTTCTATGATACAAAAAGTACACATATCGATGAGCAACATGACTTGAATTCAAGGTATCACATACAAGTTAATACAGGTAGACAGAGATACCCCAACAGCTTTCAATGAATCTAACACCCACCATATATAAGTTGAATGGCACAGTAAATAGACTTATCATGTGGCATACAAATAAATAAGGTCGCATGCTTAAACAGGTGATGCCAGTGATAACTGCAGCAGCAAATAATGAAAAAAAAACAAATAATAAAAGAACTGAATAGTAAAAAATAAACGTAATTTATCAAATATAGACAAAAAAACAACAGGAGGAAGAACGAAGAATGAAAAATGAAATCTTGAAAAACTCATAAAGAGATGAAAGATAAAATGGTGTTAGAATTCATAGATTTCTGCAACATGATATTAGGACAAATCACCTGTACATTTTACGAGAAGCATCTTAACTAATCCAAACGAATAAATCAGATAAGAGTGTAATCTAGCTTTACGTACAAAAAAGTCACAAGGAGCATAAACATATGAATTAGTGATACAGAAACACCTGAATACTAATTACAAATGATATAAGCCATAGCAAGAAGTGAGATCTTAAAATAACCTGTCTAATAACTAGTAATTTCCAGTACTCTTGAAGTGTCTACTGAAATATGTAATTCACTGTGCATAAACCTAAGCAGATAGTTAGTTCATCAAGATGAAGCTAAACTGGGTTTAAACATCTTAACATGAAGCATTATTATTTCACACATTCGCCTCCAACATGTCTTTGACTGTATTCAGCAATTCAGCTCAGCTAACATTAAGAGAGAGATTAATTTTAAGAGATTTATCGACAGATAGACAGATAGATCAACGTCGAATCTGACCTTAAAGTGCATCAGTCCAATTTTCTATGCTAAATGACAGTACACAATGAAGAAGTAATGAGGAAAAATTATATAGAAGTAGACAGAAGTACATGAGAAGAGAGTAAATAGATAGATTAGTGAGAACATTTAAGACTTAAAAGATGATAAACCCTATACAAATGCCCCAAGATCAATTCTGAGTTATATTAGTAAAAGTCTGCAGAATTCGATTCATAGCGTCAAAGACCCCAGTTAGATAGGCAACATCTTCATTCACGGCTCAAACCAACAGCCAAAAACATTATGCAATAATGGTACGTCATGGTTTGATTATCTTCAACCCTCTTCCAACCCAATACCACTTCGACTAAAATTACATGTCCAGGTAGGTGATAACTTATTATGCGCAGCCCATGTCCAAGGCACCTCAGTTGCTGAAGATTTATAACCTCACCAACTGACTTACCTTGCCTAGTACCGTTGTTTAACCCTGATACTATTCACATTGTGATTCCACTAAAAGCTAGCAAAGTTACGAATAAACCTATGGTCTAAAACCTGTGAGCTCTCCATGGCAACTTAAATAGTCATATTTCGCTAGCGTACAACAAGACAGACTAATGCCATACGGTATACTCGTCCTGTGATAAGTAGCCAGATTTCTCATAACTGCCATAAGTTAGAAAACGTCAGACAAAACTTTTGAATTC